TGATGATGATGTGCAAGTTGGGAATCATCCATCTTGACTCTCAGACCCAAGGCTGAGTTTACACAGCTGGCAATTATCATTCCAATACCAGTAAATTGAACACACTTGATATAGAAATCATTGCGAGATAGTAAACGTAGAAATCTCATTGATGCCTTTGTTATTAGATGGGTTATTTTTCACTTCCGATCCGGAACTATTGTGTTGCTGCACTCCATAGCTGAACTGAATCCTACACATCTCTAGTTTCTAAAGCACTTTGAGATCTTTTGAGATAAAGACACAGAAATATAAAGCATTATTATAACAAACACTACAGAAAATTACAGCAGCTACAAAGCACCAGCTTAGCCAAACAAAAATATCTGTTTTTTAGGCTATTAGAAGTACAATTCATTAAATAAAAACAAAGATATTGCAGATATTTGTATTTTAATTACCCAGAACTCCTGCAGCCGCACTATCTAGAGTCCCACCATGTCCAATCTTCAAAATCTGTTTTTTCCTTTTTCTTACACACTTTTGTATACCAGCTTCTGCAAAAATAAATTGACAAAATGCATTACAGAACAACCTCAGAACATGGCAATATGCAATATATTAAAAAAGACAAAACATTCAATGGAAATAATTTTTCTCCATGCTCTGATTAAATACCTCTACCTCAATGGTTTGAGCATTGGCTTTCTAAACCTAGGGTTGTGAGATTAATCCTTGAGGGAGTCATTTAGGGATCTGGGGCAAAAATCTGTCTTGGGATTGGTCCTGCTTTGAGCAGGGGGTTAGACTAGATGACCTCCTGAGGTCCCTTCCAACACTGATAGCTAATTATGAAATCATAGAATATCAGCTAATTATAAATAATCTTATGCACCATTATAAACAGAAGTGTTAAAGGAATATACAAGAAACACCAAAGTGGACAGGTTACCTGATTTGTTTCATTAATGAAACATGTAACACTATCACCAGCTGAACACACTCACAGAAAGTATCACTGAGCCTTCTTGCTTTATTTGATTGCACATAATGGGCCACATACCACTCAGCTCCATGAATGGTTTCAATAGGGATGTCTATATGCAACTGAGTGGAATTTCCTCTTTGTTGCCCATCTGCTGTTATGGCATATGGGGAAATGTGACTAGCCTGTTACAATCCCATCTAGGAATTCCACAGCCTTGATCACTCCCTGAAAAAGAAACATTCAGCAGACTCTCTGGACCATTATAAATATGAAAGCAAGTCAACTGAATATACAGTTGAAAGAGCTACACATGCCCCCAAGTCCCCTTTCCAATTTCTATAGCTTTATAACAACTTTCCTATTATTTCATGTGTTTCTCTCTCTTTTGTTACAGTGAGAGCTCCATACAAACAAGGGGAAGAACTTTGAAACTAGCTGTCAACAAAGTGCTACAACTGTAATTATGCTACACAGACATTAATCCAGCACTGGGACTCACATGGGCAGACCCCTGTGTTTGCATGGAGCCCCACTCAATAGGTGTCTATATGGGACAGACCTACTGCAGTTTTCCATGCAGGATTGGGGTCTTATAATGCAGGAGACTCTGTAATCCCCAATCAGGATCAGGGCTTCATCATGCTATGTGCTGTATACAAGATAACATGGTCCTTGCCCCTTAAGGAGGTCCCCAACCCTGCAATTCACTATGGAGAGGTGGAGTAAGGAGTGGCATGGAGCCCAACTGAAGTCAGTGGGGATTGGTTCTCTCGTGTTCCAACCCTGTTATTCACAATCCTTAAATTCTGTTCCACTCAGACAAACTCGTGGGACTGAAATTATTTCAGTGGGACTTGATGGAGGCATAAGAATCCACCACCATGGACCATACTGCAAGAGCGGGACCCACCGGAGTAAACAATCTGAAAAATTAAGCCAGAAAAATATATTTTTCTGGCTCTCTCTTTCCATGACAGACAACAGTGATATGAACTTTGAAAAGGAAGAGGTAATATGTTCCTAGGAGTTGTGGTTTCGATATTGCTGGTGTTTTCTGGGATACTAAGTCACAAAAGAGGAGGCCCACATACCAGAAGCTTGAAAAAGCCTAACTAGGTGAACACAAATGGATAATGTATTTGTGAAATCAGACATCGGAATGAAAGCGGCACCTTCATTTTGAATTTAATTTTAGGCCAGTTTTTAGTGTCTCCCTCCTGTGACTAAGGATTTTTGTCTATATTTATTTTAACAGACATTTTACGAATCTCACTTCCCTCTAACCGAAGTATTCCTCATTTAGACTTTTCCAGCTCTGCAGCCCTGGAAAATCTGGATTTTTAAACTTGCTTTGAAACTTCCAGGTGCACCTCAAGTATCAGGGGGTAGCCGTGTTAGTCTGTATCTACAAAAACAACAAGGAGTCTGGTGGCACCTTAAAGACTAACAGATTTATTTGGGCATAAGCTTTCGTGAGTTAAAACCTCACTTCTTCGGATGCATAGAGGTGCACCTCAGGTATCACAATTTGCATGTCAGGTAAACTCATGATTATCTCCATGTGCAAAAGAAGGGGTGGCCACAAATTAGGTGTGGATTCAAACTACGCTGATTAGGGAATATGAACAGGTGAAGGTGCAAACTGCACAGCAAGGAAGCTACACACAGGCAGTAATTTGCACACACAAAACCCTTACTTGGGCCTGGGGTAACTGGAATGGGACAATTACACGGGCAAGGGGTCCCCAGCCGCCTGCAAAGGGAAAACTGATGGTCCAGCAATTGGATTTGCAGACAGACATTTAGGGGGCAAAGTACTGTGCGCAGACGGATACTCTCAGCACGAATGGTGTGGGACTCCTACAACTGTAGGAAGAGCATGAAGTTCCCAGCACGTGTCATCCAGACCTGCCTCCTCCCAACGTACCCGCAGTCCCTGCTTGAACCACCCGCCGTGGCCTCCCGCACCCAGCCCGAGGGTGACATCCTGCCCCTTCCCTGCAGTACCTGCCAGCAGCTTCTCCTTCAGCTGGTTGAGCACGTTAGCAGACGTGGGCCCTTTGGGTTTATACACAGCAAAGAGCCCGCTCAGAGAGAGCAGTTTAGCTGCTGGGTTGGCCATAACGTGCCCCAACTTCCCGTGCACCTCCTCAGCCATGCTCCGGCCCGGGCTCGCCCAGGCTAAAGATGCACCGAGGAGGCCAGGGGATGGCGGCTCTGGCCCGGCTTCCCTTCTACCCACGTGGGGCCCGGGCTCGTCTTCTCTCCCCGCCCCGGGCTGCAGCCAGGAAGAGCTCGCTGCCCCGGCCACGCGCCGCAGGAGGTGCTGGGAGATGAAGTATTCGCCACGCACGGCTGGGCTGGGCTGGGCGGAGGCTCTGCCCGGCCCCGGGCGCTACAGCCTGCGCGGGGTAGGCGGGCGAGCTCGCGCTCGGGAGCAGGCACGAGCGGTGATGGCTGGAGAGGCCTCACCTGGCAGCTCGGCTGGGTCAGCCCTGCCTCTGCCTGCTGCGGGGGGGCCCCCGGCGGTGCCGCGGGTTGAGCGGTGTCAGGGTAGCCCCGGGGTGGGCCAGGATCCCGTTCCCCCGCGGTGCACAGGCTGCTGTGGATACAAAAGCGTGCATAGGGAGAGCCGCTTTTCAGAGAAACCCCTGGTCGCGTGGAGGGGAGGGGGTCACGGGGATGGCCCCGCGCAGCTTTGCTGGGATTGTGCACCCTGGGGGGGATGGGAGAGGACAGAAAACTGCGCCGTTCTCCTCTCTCGGCTCTATTCTGCTCGTCCCTGTCGCCCGCCGTTTGCGGTTTTTATTGCCCTGACTCGCTTTTTCTCTCTTCAAAGTCCCCAAATTTTATATTTAAGGAGTGAGCACCAGTGGGGAGCGTGGGGAAAACAGTGACATCCGTTGACCCAGAATGATTAAACTCCCAATTAAACTGAAGACTAATAGCTGAGTTGATACAGGAGCAGCAGGGGACAACTTCGTTGTTGTTGTTACAGTTATCACACATTGGGTTTTCACGTGCTGAAGGCTTTACTGACTACATTAGAGAGAAACACAGGTTCTGATTCTCAACCCGATTGCACCGATATAAACGAGGCTTAACTTCAGCAAAGGGAACGGAGTTACACCAGCATGAAGGTTTCAGAGTGAAGGAATCAATCCTTCTCTTTTTGAAGTCAATTGTAAAAAAAAATATCAGTGATCTCAAGGGGAGCAGGAATAGTACCTAAAGAACATCAGCCAACAGTGAAAACACTGTTAGACCCCTGTCTTCACAAATTGGGTTATTTCTAGTCAGAATTTGTCTACACATTTTTAACAATGAGGGTAATTAGCCACTGAAACCATGTGCCTTGGGATGAGTTGGATTTTTCATCACTTGAAATTTTTAAATCAAGTTTGGATGTCTTTCTTAAAGACTGAAAAGCTCAGCCAGAAATGACAGGTTTAAGAGGAATTACTGGCTGAAATTCTATGGCCTGTGGCATGCACAAGGTGAAACTGGATGATCATAATGGTCCCTTCTGGTTTATAATCTATGAATCCATGACCAGCCAAGCACATGCATAAGTATTTGCATGATCTAGGCCTAAATTTTGGATAAATTTATTGGACTATTATATGGTAACTGGCAATAATTAATTAGAAAATAAATGTACCATTCTTTAGTGAATGGGATGGAACTCGTTCATTTTCTGTTAGTATAGAAAGAAGGTGCTATAAATCGCTCCCTATCATGCAGGCTCAGATTTGAGATCAGTCATTTCCAGGGCAAATTGATTTCGGGAATATCACATTTAGATGTGATATTTACACATTTTGTGCTCACCATAAACATGCAAGTAGTTTAGACTCTATCCTGCAGCAGATGTGGGTGTGAAGTGAGGCTTTTTAGAGACACTACATCATTCTGCAGTGAAGTACATGACTTTCTGATTAATTGGTTTGGAAAGCAGCTCTCCCTCTCACCCATCACACTGTTAGTCATTGTACCTTTGTTACATGACTTTAAATAATGATATTCCACTGAGTAGGTATTAAGGCTATTAATCTTCCTGCTTTTGTGGAGTCCTGGAAGAAAGTATTACTAGGACAGGAATTTTCTAGATTTCTAAGCCATTCAGTTTAGCCACTGTAGGAAGTGCAGCACTCAGATCTAACTTTTCAGGCCTAAATCCTGCACACTCATTACTCTGAAAAAACTCCCATGGGCTCTAATGGAATTTGTGCTAGAGCAAGGAACGCAGTATTGGGGTCTTAGTTTTCTCAGAGACAGGACAAGTTGCTTAGTTTGCAAGGAACTGAAACCTAGCAGATAAAAACAAATTTACACTTTTCGCAACAAATGTGTGTGTGGTTAGAGAGCAATGGGTATCCCCTGTGGGGCACAGAGCTTCACAGGGGCAAACTTTTACCTGGAACCCACCCCACTTAAGTCAGCAAGCAGGGCTCTGTCTGCATGGAGCTCAGTGCTGGATCAGGGCCTATATCTTATTTATGTACTTCTGTGGCCTATGGTAGATTAATTGATTTTCTCAAGGATGGGAATTGAATACAGATCTTCTGACTCCTACACCCATAGCCTAGCCACTAGACCATTCTTTCTCTCCCATATTGCTATTAAGAGCCTCAATCTACAGTCTCAGCTTCCATTGACTTCAGTACCACATATGCCAGGCCACAGGTGAGTAATTTGTTGTAGTAAAATCCTGTGTGTCAGTTGTAGAGTAGTTTAGTTTTTTAATGATCCTCTCCCTCTTAAAAAAATAATGGGTGTAAGGAGCTTTGAAAGTGCTAAGTAGTCTTTTATAGACTGGTCTCAGGAAAAATAAACCCTCTGGAAGTAAAGCAGGATTTAATTATACAAATTCTTTGCTTATTGCTCGTTTACATAGCTACACTCTGACCATAAAAATATTGGCTGCTACCATAGGGTTAATTTCCTAAGGATTGGTACATGTGGCCATCATTGCTGATGCATGAAAGTGAGGTGCCATGATCCTCTCCTAAAAGGGAAGTGAAGAAACCTGGACTGATGGAAGAGGTCAATGAGACTTTTGCCATTGATTTCAGTGGACACAGGTGTAATAAGATGAGGCCCTGAAACATAAACCCTTGTATCAGAGGCACGGTATGAGGCCTAAGGCCTGATCTTAATAATGATCAAGACTTTGTTAATATAAAACAAAGGAGCAAGAGGCAGGCCCTGCTTAGAGTCTGGCAAGGAGAGGGCTGATGTTGCAAAAATACACATACCTAAAAGGTACTGGACACTAGAGATATAAACATGTGCCAGGATGGTCCCAAGAACACTCCAATACTAGCACATTCCACACAGATAACAAGGAACAGGCTGACCCATCCTAAAAACAGGGGCAAAAGGGTAATATGATGGATAGATTTCAGAGTAGCAGCCGTGTTACTCTGTATTCGCAAAAAGAACAGGAGTACTTGTGGCACCTTAGAGACTAACAAATTAATTTGAGCATAAGCTTTCGTGGTCTACAGCCCACTTCTTCAGATGCATAGAATGGAACATATAGTAAGAAGAGATATATACGTGCAGTACACGAAAAAGTGGAAGCAGCCATATCAACTCTAAGAGGCTAATTAATTAAGATGAGCAATTATCAGCAGGAGAAAAAAAAACTTTTGTAGTGATAATCAAGATCAAGATTATCACTACAAAAGTTTTTTTTCTCCTGCTGATAATTGCTCATCTTAATTAATTAGCCTCTTAGAGTTGATATGGCTACTTCCACTTTTCGTGTACTGCACGTATATATCTCTCCTTACTATATGTTCCATTCTATGCATCTGAAGAAGTGGGCTGTAGACCACGAAAGCTTATGCTCAAATAAATTTGTTAGCCTCTAAGGTGCCACAAGTATTCCTGTTCATGATGGATAGAGTTGTTTTGTCCGAACCAACATGTACAAGGTGAGAGGCAGCACCCTAACACGCAGAGAGGTTGTACTTCAATACATCAGGAGTGACATGTAACTTGTTTGTACCTGTGTATAAGAATGCATCCCTGGGGCAGTGTCTTTGTCTGGCCTAGGGGGCAGTGGTAAATCCTGCCACTGACTGAGCCAGTCCATTGTCAGGGAGCACATATGTACTAGCAGAACTGTAGACATCTGATCCAGGGAGCTAGAGACTGTGTTTCATTTGCCAATAAACTTGGCCGGGTGCCTTCGTACCTTATCAGAGTCTGTGGTCATTGGGCAGTTCGCTCGAGATCTGCTGTGCCAGCTATCTGCACAGAGCTGGGACAGCACATAGGGAGAACACACACACACGCAGCCGACTTATCAATATTGGATAGAGCAGAGCACCACACTGGGTGACGCTTGACGATAACAGGGTTTATCCCAAAGAGTGAGACATGAAACCTCTACCTCCAACAGTCCTGACATGAGAAGTCCCTTTTGCATGTGTAGTTTAGCTGTGTTAACCTAACCATTTGAAAATGAGATTCTAACATTGTCCTAGCTAAAAACAGTTTGAACTGCATTCTAAAAGACCTGTGAAAAAAGCTGTGAGCCACTTGTGCCTAGCACTATCATTAGGTCAGTAGGCTGGCCTGAAAATGCTTTCTAATGTTTAGATGGATCAGTGAAACAGACTGCACAAAAATGTGAACATCACCATATGCATAAAGATATTCATGCAAAGAACATCTTGGCTTTTCAATAATGCAGCAGCAGCTAGGGACTATGAATAACCTTCCTGTACAGATTACTTGAGATGCCTCTTTTTAAGGGTTGGTTTAAATCAGAAAAGGGTTTTGAAATGATTTGGCTAATATAGGTAACCATGGGTGGGCCTAGAGTTTGCATCTGAACTTCAGCATTGCTCCAGCAAGTAAGGAGGAACTTGTTTTGCTATTTTTTGTTTTTCTTTAAGGCTAGGATTTTCAAGGAGCTTAAAGAAGTTAGGCACGCAACTGTCATTGAAAAGCAATGGGAGCTGAGCATGTAATTATCTTAGGCCCCTTAATTCTACCTGAATGATTAAAAAAACATGTTATGCATAAAGGACCTGACCTTTTAAAGACTATAGAAGACTTGCTTTGGCTTCACTGGGGATTGGCTCATGGCCCCAAACCAGGAAAAATTACCAAATGCTATGTGTATTACAGATAAAGGGTAGGTGGGTGGATGGGTAAATAGATTCAGACTTCTCCTTTCATAAGGCAACGCTATTTAGAACTCAGGGAATTGGTGCTGGGAATCAGTTACTGAACCAGTTATCTCAAGATGACTAGTTAAAATTTGTCTGGTGTCGGTGGTATTTGAAAGTCATTACCATTACAAAATTTGTATCCGCGTCCGATCGTCAAACATGGTCCATGGATATAAAGTGGATATCCACAGATTTGTGGGACT